AGACCAAAAAACCCCACCCAGGATGAGCAGCAGGCAAGGGGCAGTTGCCACTCTGAGCAAAGGTAGCCACAGCTCTCTGGACGGTATTCTGGAGATAGAGCTGATCCTTATAAATGAGCAAAACCACACCACAATAAATAAACACCGAACAAATAGAGCTGCACTCTAGGTTGACTGATCCGGGGGGTGCCACCGCAGCAGCAGGGCCTGTGTGCCTGTGGGACACCAGCAGCAGCCCTGGGGCTGGCTCAAGCACCCAGCCTCACCCGCTGAAGAAGTGAACTACTCCCAGTAGGAACATCAGTAAAAGAAAAGGTGCTTTATTAGAATCCAGACAGGCACAAAGAAGGTAAGTTACAGAAACAGTGCCACACCGTGTCAGGGTTATGCTTGTGTTCAGGTAGGAGTTAAGAGTCAGAAAGAGATGTTTTTCAACAGAGGCTTGGCAAGATCCCAGATGATGTTAGAATCCAGTTGTTCAATGGTGCTTATTCTGCCATTTCTTCTGCTGGCATATTTGTTTCTGACCGCCTGCAGAGACAAAATTAAGTTTACCCTGTTCATAAACTTAGAGTATTCCAGCTCATGTGAGGCTTGGTGATCCCAGCCACAGAAGCCAAGCCCATTTTAGCACACAAGAGCAGTTCATGGCTAGCTCATGACACTTTGGCAGGATAGACATCTTCAGCTGAAGTGAGCAGGTCTGATCCAAGTCAGACAACCCTGGTTCAGCTAAGTCAGCTTCAGGGCACCACACATGAACACTTAACCACACATACTCCCCACCTGCACAGCAAGATACTTACACTGAGTTTGGTCATGCCCCTGTTCACAAGAATTACGTTCTTTGCCATGTGCTGCATAATCGGGAGAAGGTCGCTTTCAGCATAATACATGCAGTATTGCATAGTTTCAGTCTGAAAGGAAGAGAAGTCATTAGGGCAAGGCTACTAGAACAATCCAAGGTTCTTTGTCTTCTGGTGGGCTTGGGCAATCACAGTCTCCCTCACAGTGAAGCATTAATGATTGCAGCCCTACTGCTATCCTCTCATAATGGACCATGGGAAAACAAGAATGTGCTGAGATACCACAAAGGAAACAGGAGGCATGTGCTTGGCCCAGAGAGGCCTTTTAAGCTGGCACACAGGCACACCAAGTCCTAGACTTGGAGGTGGTCTGACAAGCATGACTTACCCACTGATATCCATTGAGTTTCAGAGCCAAACAGGAAGCAGCCGCTGCAGTCTTAGATGGAGGAAAGTGAGCCAGGTCATAGTCCACTATGGACAATTCCATCAGGTACATGGCCAGGACATACTTTTCAAAGTTCACCTGTAGTAAATCAGAGTCAAGTATTTACTATCTGCAAGGCAATGGCATCCTGTCAAGCAGGAAAAAATAATTATTAGCAAACATTTCAGAGCTATAGGCTTAAAATTCAAGTGGCTTCTTCACAGAATGATTCAGAGCTGTATTAGTCTGCTCACAGTCCAGGACCACTTCTTTCAATGGCAGTCTAGCAGTCACCTGCGGTACCAGGCAGGCTTTTTATCTCGGGTTTTGGTTGGGTTAGGCCTATGTGACAAAGCAAACAAACAAGACTTGTTTCTGCATGGGAGACAGGTCTCAACCACGCTCAATTACCAAACTGCTACAAAAAATCCTGTTCAAATTTTTGAAGCATTTTAACAAGCTGCCAGAGTTAAGTATTGCATTTTCCAGATGCTGCCTACAGCAACACCCGTTCTTAGCTTTACCTCTGCAATGTTCACAGCCCTCCTTAGGAAGTGCGGGGGGAGAGGGTGACCCAGAACAAAGTCCAAAGCTCGCAGGATCTTAGTCTCCATCTGGCAGATTTGGACCTTTGTGTAAGTGTTATTCGTTATCTGGACAAGGTCTGTAGTGTTCAAGGATAGCACCTCTTCATATTTGCAGGCAATGAACATCGCTGTGACACCAACCAGCTTTAATGTGTTCTTGGAAACGGCGTTGGACTGTAGTAAGAGGCAGTAGAGATTAATCTGAATGGCTTGGCTCACAACACAGCTTTTCAGTATAGCCAGTATAAAGTCAGTTCTTTGTCAGGATGTTCATACTGGCACATACAGAATAACTGTACATCTGTTACCTCCACTGGCATCTGCAGGGTTATTAGAAAGCTTTGAGATCAAATCAGGGAGAGGAGCAAGCAGTTTTGATATATCAAGTCAAGTTTGATATATCAAGTTTCGGTATGTCAAAGCTGGATGAGGCTTTGAGCAACCTGGTCTAGTGGAAGGTGTCCCTGCCCATGGCAGGGGGGTTGGAACTAGATGGTCTTTAAGGTCCCTTCCAACCCAAAGCGTTCTGTGATTCTATAAGTCACTGTCATGACTTAGTTATGTGGGTTATAACAGGGATACCTACAACTCAACATCAGATGCCTTTTGTTCGTCAACTGTACTTTAACGGTAACGTGTCTAACCAGGCGTGGTGTTATTGATTAGTGCTCACTGCGCTGTAATTTAGGGGAGAAGCGTTGCCTGGCAGCAGGCAAGAGACACTCACCTGCAGGAAGCGATCCATGAGAGAAACTGTCATGTACAAGGTCTCTTGATGGAGCCTGAGTTTCACCTGTACTTGCACAAGCCAGTTAACTAATATGGCACGCATGTTCCCGTTGATAGACTGGATGCCCAGGTATCTGGGTCTGATTGGTTGATTTTCCTGCATAGAAGAAACAGGGTCAGTATATCTAGTCACTTAGCTGAAGCATTTGCAATGCCTCCCCCCAGTTGCATCTCAGGGCTTATCAAGGGGTTCGGGTGTAGGCCACAGGGCACAAGGTTGCTTTGTTTACCACAAATGGGCTAGAAGGAGCAGGGTACTGGTACTGCTGGCTGGTTGGTCTAACAATCAACAGCTGTATGTTACCAGCTCAGTCTAATCTTGTATTTCAACTTGAGGGATCACTTATTGGTGCCTCAGGAAAATCCAAAGGCAAAAAAGTGCATGCCAGCTCCAAGCCATGCCTGCAATGTTCGCTGTGTCATCAGGGGCCTCTTGCAGCTCTGACCTACTCCTACCAACCTCAAACTCTCTCAGATATTTGTAGATATCCTTCCAGTAGCTGCAGCAGAGGACCACGTCTGTGCTTATGTCCTGTGCGTTTAGGTCTTCCTCTTGAAACAAGATTTCCAAAAAAGCCTGGTGCAGCATGTCTTCTGATACTGCATGCTCAGGGAGCTTCACTGGGATGGATGGCTCACGCTTCAGCTGCAAGAGAATTCTGGATCAGTGTGGGCAGCACCTGCCTCCGTGGCCCAGTGCGGGCACAGCGAAGGCTCCCGTGGAGCACCAGGCAGTGTGGGAGTGCTGCAGGCGCCCACGGCCCCTCTCCCAGGGCGCC